AGAGAGAGAGAGAGAGAGAGAGAGAGAGAGAGAGAGAGAGAGAGAGTAATTACATTGGAAAATCTAATAAGTTCAAGCATACCTTCCAACAGAAATTTACTGATTAACGTTACGTTTTACATTATCACGAAGCATCACGTAGAATTCCTTATATATCATTTCGCAAGTATCACATTTAAATATAAAAATTAAATAAAATGTAAGTAAAATGTCAATATGAATCTTTACAGTTGTTGAATAATATATTTATAAGGAAATAATATATTTATAAGGCGATAAATATAATTTAAACAATCTCGACTCTGAATTTGAATCGTTTTTAATATGGAAAGTACAAACTATAATACTGTACTGACGATCCGTACTAAGGAGGCTCAAAAAGAGAGTCAAAATGTTTGTAATTTGTTGAAGTACATTCCAGTTGTTTACAAATTATATCTTATCACTTTTTAAATATATTATTTATGCACAACAACCGCGCGAAAGCTCATATATTTTACTTATATTTTATTTATTTTTGGAGCTGTACAAAACTATTTTTATTTTTATATTAATAAAAATTAAATATAAACGTCGCAGTATCCACTAACCAGTATTACGTAATACATACATATATGTATATATGTATATATTCCTATCTAGTTTCTGTGTTCATTAATATGAACTCGAAGATGTATATATACATACATTTGTCATGTAAATATAGGCACAGTCTTATTATGTCCGCAACTATTATAATTATGAGATAATTGAATAATTCATCAAAGTTACATAAAAAAAAATATATACTGAGCGCTTAACATTCATAACACTCTTTTTCTGTTATAATTGTATTATATAGATATCACTTTAGATACCTAACCTTTAAAGTAACAAAAATATCAGACATAAATGAGCAAATAATAGAAATAATTATTCATTCTTGTAGTTTCTAATATTTTCCATTATTATTCCATTATTATTCAACGTTTCAAATTATTTAATATTTTTGAAAGCTACATATTTGGCAAGTGTGTGGTTTTGAAGTACGTACTTAAATCTCTTATTTTTAGTCACTTAAATACGCGGTTGGAGCACAAAACATCGCATTCCAAAAGTTCATCGATATTATCAGTATTATCGATATGACATAAGCTTCCATCGTAATAATAAATATGCGCTGCATCGTGTAATGAGCAATATTATAGTGAGCGCGATAATATCGTTCCAGAATTGGTCTCCACTCATAGAGATGTCTGAGAGAAATTTCGAAGGGTATTTATAATGACAATAAAACTCACCCTTCTCTTTACAGTCTAGAATGGGTCTGTCCATCCCGTAGATAGCCCCGACAAACCTATTTAATTCAGTTAAATTAACGTCAAATAATATTAACTTTAAATAATTTACATTTATGTAATTTTAAATTATTAAATGTAGATTATTTTATTATATTATATCAAATAATTCTCATATACCTAATTCTTTAACACAATTATGTAAAATTTTATTATTTATAAATATGAATAATTGAAAATATACGTAATAAATATATGTATATTAATAATATAAATAATACAAAATTTATAAAATTATTCTTACCCTTCTAGACCATATCGCAAATAACTGAGATAGCTACCCCATTTAAGATAACTTGGTAGATCACGTAATGATACTCCGAATCCAGCAAACATCATTAGTGGACATGCCAATGTTGGCCCCACAAAAGTACCGTTCTACAAGTAAAAATGTTTCTTTTATTAATTTTACTTTAAAAGTTAAACATTTTTCTGGAACATTTTGCAATAAATATGCAGTTTACAATACAGTCTTATCCAAAGAGCGAATTTTGCTGATAAATATATATTGCTGATATATACATATATATTTGCACACAATAAAAAAAAACAACTTAATGACGCATTTGATAGTATCAAAAAAAATTGATAATAAATTGATATGTTTAAATATAATAAGCGTCAAAAGTTGATAAGAGATACTAATTATACATGTAAACAACAAACTAATTATTTACAAATGATGAAATAACAATCATTACGGTCTACGAACAGTATCACTGTTATAATTATCAGCAACAATTCTAATTAATTATTGATTATACATACCACGACATTAAATACAGCGCCTATCATAAGTCCGGTACCTTGTCCTATAAACATGATTAAAAGACTAATGGACAGGAACATAGAAAATCGAATAATCTCCCACGGTTGCGCCGACATTAAGTAGACGATTATCGAGAAAAATATACAGCAAATTATCGAAATGGGTACATCGATCAATGTTATCGCCGTGTAAAACGCCTTCAGACTGTACCATCTATTGAAGTGCTCCTTCAAGAGAATAGACATTTGCATTGGAACTGCGAATCAAAGGTAAAACCGTTATACAAACTCACATTTGCGAAAGTTAGTCATAACGGAGTCACGAAAAGCCATACGGAAAGCACGCGAATACTTACAGGTAACTATTGTCAGCATCATCGTCGTCATCATGTGATGTATGAGAATAGCAAATAGAAGATTATAATTGTCTATAACGCGGGAACCATCGGCGCCGGATCGCAGGAAAACAGTGCCCAACATTACACCGACGAGAATGTTAACACCGATGCGTAAATGTGTCAGAGTCTACAATATGTGCTCAATATATTGTTAAATGGAATTCGTGCGATTGTAGTGCAAGCGTTTTTTTTACACCGAATCGAATTTTTTACGAGTGACATATTCTCTAAATTCTTAAAATTTATTTTATTCAATTTAATTAACAAAACAATTGTAGGAAAACACTCCGCGTAATAATCTTAAAAAGAAAGATATCTTGAATGTTTTCGAAACTTTCAAGGAGTATCGTTGATTAAAATCATCATTGACGCGTGCATTAAAATACGATAGATGAACAAACAATTCTTACCATATCTCGTTTACTCATGATAAAGCCTCTCCTTAGCAAGATCTTGATTTGATGAACAAGATTTGTCGCGTGTAAGCCGTTGTTATTGTTCATTATATTCCTTCTTCCATCCAAAGGATGTTCCGCTGAAAACAACAAAAAATTAAATGCAATGTTGTTTATATAAATTTAGAGTGACAGCAATACAATTTTTAGTTTAATAATATATTTTTATTAATGCAATGGTATTTAAAATAAGCGTAAAATGAATATTTAAATATACTTTATTATAAATAAATACTTTTATTTATAATAAATTTCATTTGATTTTATATAATTTTGTTTGATGACAAATGATTTTCTTCACTATATATACGGTTATTTGATAAAATAAACAATTTTATCTAATATTACTCAATTATTTTTTGTAATTGCAATTATCGAATCATATATTGGAATTTTATATAAATTTTATAATGATTTCAGGGACTCCGTCAATTACATTAAGTGATTACCCACTCGAATAAAAAAAACGTACCTCTTAAGCTTTTCGCATCCTTTAAGACTTCAGGATTGTCGAACCACTTCAAATTTCGTCCATTTTGCGATCCCGTTATCAACATATTGATTTTATCATACCCGTA